AGATACAATTATTTTTAAGAATTTTGATAATTAAGTCAATAGCAAAATAATTTATATCATATTTATACTTTGGTTTGATATCAGTATTTTAAAGTATTATATAAAAATTTTCAATAATTTTTAATATTGATTTATAAAATATCATATCAATAATATTAATTGAAATCCTATCTATAAATATTTAACAGGGATATATATTTAAAGACCAAGAAGCACTATTTACTGTATTATTGATCCACTAATTTTAAATTTTGATTTATTTATAATATTATATTTTAATTTATATTCAATAAATTTGAAAAAATTTGTAATGAAAAATTTTTTTATAAAAATATACAGATTTTAATAACTTTAAAAACTTTTAAATTTATATTGTTTTATATATAATAAAAAGTATTATAAAAAAAAATCTTTATAATTTATTAAATAAAAATTATAATATATAAAATTGTAAAATAATTAATTTTTAAAGATAATTTTTATCAAAATATTATATTATTTTAAAAATTTAAATTTTAAAACTTTCAATAACAAAAAAAAATATTTCTAATAAAAAATAGTTGTTTAATTTTTTTTATAATAGACAATTACAAATAAAATTATTTTTTGATTTTAACAAATTTAAATTTAAATAATTTTTAAATTTATATTGTTTTATCTAATTGTCTTTCCTATCGTCTGATTTTTCCAGATAAAGTTTGGCGCAGTATCGTACTGGCGATAAAAAATAGACATACCTTCATTATCATGCAAAATTTTTTAAAAAATAAGGTGGAATGGAATGTTGAGAAAATGAATCGTAGAGGTCAAAAAAAAAAAAAAAAAAAAAAAAAAAAGCATCAACCAGTCACGTGATCATGAATTACAGTTTATTGTTGTGATCGATTGCCTCTTATTTACAGTTTACGTATTATGCCAAAACGCAATCGTGAAGGTTTTAGAGAAGCCCGGCGTGTCGAATCGTCTTCTCGAATACCTATGTCTCCTAAATATTTCTGTCTCAGATAAAAAGACTACACACAGAGATTGGATTGAAACTCTTAACGATATCTGGAAAAACCATCCTGTTGCACGGATTCAGAAACTAGCAGACAAAAGTATCAAAAATTATCAGGTTATGTATTTGCATTTATTGTACGAGAATACGGGATTAAACAGAAGTTGGTATCGCTCCTGCGTTCATCCTCTGCTTTGGGCGCAGGATTAGATCCTATGCTTTCCTCCACTCTCGGAGAGCGATATCAGCGGGAAGATGGGAACCACAGTGATCCTCTGCTTTCATCTTGTGGCATAATCTTTTGCTTTTATTCCATCTTTCACGGGGCTCGATGTTCTGTTGGCTTTGGCACTGCATTAAATTGAGCCCCTAATCTATTTGATCCCGAAAAATTTATTTTCATTATATGCTCTTTGAATAAAACCTGTCTTCAACGTTTATAATTTAGAATGAAATCAAATCTCAAGCTGTCTCAAAATTCTGGACAGATATCGAAAAAGCAAAGCTCGGAAACAAATTATATTCTATTCACTTCAATGGATTTGCAGAACTGGTTAATATTTACTTTCTACGCATCACACCATTTTCTCTGCTTAAAAATATAATTTGCCTTTACATTCAGGTTGAAAATAGAAACAATTTCAAATACAATGAACTTCAAGATATTCAGGTCGAAAATAGCGATAACTCATGCCTCAATTCCGAAAATACAGAATCTGGCTTTAATAATGATGAAGAACCATACGAAAAGTGAGTAATGGCTTCTTGCGCTTTAATATTTTAGACTTCCTATTCACATTTATTAATTTTCTATGTAGAGAATATTTTGCACACATTATTGACCTTGATAAGGTGACAGAACGAGATAGACCTCCGTTCTTTACAGTTGAAGAATGGTCGAATGTTATTTCCGAATCACAACTACCATCAACAAAATTACCTGAATCTGTTGAACGACAACTTGACTATTATCTGGTGGAAACGACTATCGAAAAAATTCGGGAATCATTCGAGTCATATAAAATCGTAAATTCGGATGATGACCTTTACACTCGCAAAGTCATGGATCACTTGTAAGTGTTGTTGTATGTTTTATTGTATAAAGAACCAAAATTATCCTTGACTAATGATGCCAAATAATAGTATTTTTTGTCTCGAGAAACGACCAGAGTATTTTGCGCAACGGCCGAGTACCGAGGCAACATTCCGTGTTCGATTTATTGAACCCATAATTGAACCTTTTATATTTATATTTAAAAACTTGGATTTAACCTGGTAAGTGTATTCCTTTTATGATGGATTGTTTTGATGATGAATAACTTTTTCTTCTTAATTGTAGGGGTGAAATTTCGAGCTTGTCCCCAGCCATCCGCCGAAATTTTCATCTCGAAGAAGGCAAAAGACGTAAAATCGGTTCGAAAGGTGATGGTATAGGTTCTCTAGTTAATCTAGATGATAAAGAACTTCTGGTTATTGAGCTATCCGGAGCACCGACTCGTCTCCCAAAGAAACATGCAGAAGAAGATAAAGTAAAACTTGAACGGTGCTTGGTTGACGTACTTAACAACCTTCTGGATGATTATAAAATATGCGATTTTGAAGTTGCTAAGAAACTCCGAGTATTCGGTCTTCAAACTGAAGGTAAGGTTTTGCCTTTCCTGTTACAATTGTGATTTTTACATTTCTGAAATTTAACCCGCAATTTATTATTTAAGGATATAAGTGCTCTATTTCTACATTATATATTGTTGGTCGTGGATTATATTGCAGAAAGACGTTGTTTCAGTTCACATTGCCGACAAGGACGTTGGATTTATGTTACTTGTATGAGCTTGTTGAAGCCATGCTTTCTTTTCGAGATGAATTATCAAAATCGTTAAATGTTATACATAAACTCAAGATTGCAAAATCTCGTAAACTTGTTTCTGATGACCCAATTAGTGGTTACATGTTACGGTTACCACCAACATGAACTTGATTTTGAGGACGCTCCCTTATATTTCTCTTTTTCAGTTCAACGGTAAAAGTCATTTTTATACTGCTGATTACAAGTTGCGTTAGTTTTAATTATGAATGTAGTCTTCTTGTTAGGCTAGTTCTTTTTAATACGTGCTGTGTTAGGTGCATTGAAAGATCGGGTAATAGCATGTGATGAGCCCAATAATAAAAAGTATCGTGTTAAGGAAATAATTGGGGGAATAAACAATAAATAGCTACTTTGTGACTACCACCGGCAATAAATTTAGATAGTTATTTTTATGTACCCGACACCTATGTGCTCTATATTTTATTTGTAAGACATGTAACTGTGCATCGGAAAAATATACAAGTTTGATATACCTTAATCGGATTAATCATCACATCTACAATCTTTTTTTCATGTAAACATCCAATCCATGTTATCCAACATCAGTAAGTCTGGATTTGAATATTTCCTGAAAACTACTGTCGAAATTGGGATGTGGTTCAGTACCATAAAGCATGAAAAATAGCAATTTGGGTTTGAATAAGGTGACTGTAACAAGAAGTTTTAACAAACAACTACAGATAATAAAACAAGATACGGAAGAGGAAAAGAAGTATATTTTCATAAGCTATATAACTACATATTAGTAAGTCACATTCAGTAGCTACCCATGAAACTGCGTCTTCACATGGTTATGGACTGCATCTCCACTATAGCCAGCCTGTGACTTACTAATTTTTAGTTTTGATGATCTTGATACGCTAATAATAAACTTTATTTTTGTTAAGATTGAATCTAGAAAGATGGAACTAATCAACAACTTTTGGTTGAAGTTTTTATATGGGTTGAAGCCTAGCAATTTTATGGAGAATGAAAATATAAATGCAGAAAATGTATTTTTATCTTGAGAATTATCTTATAATAGAGTACAGTTTAGTAGTGTTGGTAATATATATATATATATTTTTTTAGCTTGACTAGCTGAGCCTTACCTAGCATGATATTGATATTTAACAAACATATGTATCTTATATGTTTTTACACAGGTAATTATTATTTATTAGTTATTCTACACATTGCTAGACTATATCAGATTTTACCTTTATATCAGTTTGTTGCTATTGACTGTCATATTTCAGACAAGCTGAGGTTAATGTGTATATATTTCATTAGTATCACTATTATATATAAGTGATGTTCTATTTCTAATCGGAAATATTTTAAGGGAAAGTAAAAGAGGAACTTGGGAATAGTACCTATTAGACAAATAGAACTTTGTAAAGGAAGTCTTCTAATCTAATTAAAGTTGAAACCACTTATAGAAAGAAACATTAGATACTATGGAGAGATGATTATCAAACCATCTTGCTCTAAACCAGATGCCTTCAATATCTTTTTTAGTTTTCAACTTCCAACAATCATCGTAACACCAACCAGATAATTGTCGCACCACAACGCCTTTTTTGGAGATCACAATCTTAATATCTATTGGATTGGCATATGAATTGGCTTCTTATAAGAAACAATGCTTAGCAGATCATAGTATCAGATATCATATTAATTTTATTCAACCATTTTTACCTGGGGTTGAACTGATATTTTGTAATCTGGATTTGAAAGTACTGACCACTGTGCTATAAATCCACAGGTCTAGTGGTATTGATAATATAATTCAAGAACACAAATGAGATTATAAAAATCATAAACAATTAAATATTGAAGAAGAAATATTAGTAATATCAACAAAAAAGATGAGATTAAGTATAGTAACTCTTCAATATATATTAATGGTTTAAGTAATTAATAATTTATTGGTATGTTCTGTGATTTAGATAAAATTAGATAAAAAATTTTTATTCAAAATATTAATAATATTTATGTATTTATTATAGATATTTTTTAAAAAATCATAAATTCTTATATTTAAATAAGTTTAAAAAAAATCAAAATTAGAATAACAAAAGCATAAATGTTTTTTAAAGTATAAAAAATTATAAAAATAAAAAATGTATTAAAATCTATATCAAAAAAAATAAATACTTATTATTTAATAACTGAAATTTCAGATTTACAAGATATATCAAATAAAATATTTTATATTAATTTTAAAATTAATTTTGAAATAATAATTTAATAACAAATAATTATTAAATAGAATTATATTATCTTGTAGATCATAATAATACAACTCTAATATAAATAATTGATCTTAATGATAATTAAAAAAAAATTTTAAATATTATAAATTTTTAAATTCAATAATATTGATTATATACTTCAAATAGGGTTTCTAATAGTATTACTTTAATATCAGTTTGATATCAGTTCGATACTTAAATTTACTATAAATTGATACTATTTTAATACCATTTCAATATCAGTTCGATACTTTTCAGAATCCTAATTTCAAATAATAAATTTCATTAATCAAAGGAATTTCATAAAAAATCAAATAAACATTTTGAAACATATAAATTATATTCCATAATGTTTTATAATTTTAATAATTATTTGAAAACTATAGAAAACTATCAAGATTATTTATTATTTGTATATTTATATTTATTATTATATATTAATAATTTATTAATTATATATTTTATTAAATGTTTTGATTAGATACTAGATAAAATTAAGCTATTAATCAATAAAGTTTTAACTTATTTAATAAAAAATTATTATTCAAATTGATATTAAAAATATATTTCTGTACAATATCCAAAAAGATATTTTAATTTTATATGTATATATATATATTATATTTATTAATATAATAATTAAATTTAAATATTTTTTTTGTTTTTTTAAAAAAATCAAAAAACTTTTTAAAGTTTTTACAATATTAACAATTAATTATAATTATACAACAAAATTTCATATTAATCTAAATGATAATAAATTATATATTATTATTTCTATAGATAAATAGGAAGGTATATATTTAATTTTTCTATATTTGAGTTTTAGATTAAAATTAATTAAAGGCAAGTAATTATATTTAGATCAAATTTATTAATTTATAGTAATTCATCTGCTTAAAATATTTATTTTTCTATTGTTTTTTTTTTATAAAAATTAATTTTAAAAATTAATAAAATCATATTATAATAAATAATTAAATATTTTATTTTTAAAAATTTAAATAAATATAAAATATTTTTATATTATTAATTTACTATTATATATTACTATATTTTTTATACTTTTTATGTTATTAATACTGTGATAAAATAGATAACTTAGTTATAT